GATTTGTTGGTAAACATAGAAATTCCTATATTAGTTCAATTCATATTAAAATTCAGCAATTTATATATAAAAGTCACCCAAGCCAATCTTAGCCAATTACAAACTGGTCGGCTCTGGAACTGCACATGCTTGGTCTCGGCTGTGGAAATGGGTGCTCAGTCTTGGCTGGACTCGGCATGAGCGAGGGGGGGGGGGGGGGGGGGGCAGGTTGCTGGTCAGAAGGAAGGTGATGCCATGGCACCTGGCACCTGGCACCTTTCTAGGAAATCTGAAACTACTGCAAGGAAGAAGGTGGGGGAAGGAGGACCAAAGCTTGCAGGTAATTGCAGGTCAGTGTTTGACAGTTCCAGCCAACAGAGACCACAGTATTCAGTCAGTCAGTCACTCCGTGGGGGGGGTCACTGATGTAAGGAGCGAGTGGAGACCCTAATGTAAGGGGGGGACACTGGTGTAAAGTTACCCCCTCGATATCAGTGTCCTCACTCACCTCTTACATCAAGGAACGCCTTTACCATAGTGTACTAACGTTACAGACTCTGGTGTAAAGGGGAACTCTGCAGACCCTTATGTAAGGGGGAATGTTGTAGACTCTGGTGTAAGAGTTTCTCTGGTCATTCCCCTTTACATCAGGGTCCACAGAGTTCACCTTTAGATAAGGGTCAGCCAAATTCCCCTTTACATCAGGGTCCACAGAGTTCCCCTTTACATCAGGGTTTGCAGAGTTCCCCTTTAAACCAGGGTCCACAGAGTTCACCTTTAGATAAGTGTCTGCCGAATTCCCCTTTACATCAGGGTTCGCAGAGTTCCCCTTTACATCAGGGTCCACAGAGTTCACCTTTAGATAAGGGTCAGCCGAATTCCCCTTTACATCAGGGTCCACAGAGTTCACCTTTAGATAAGGGTCAGCCGAATTCCCCTTTACATCAGGGTCCACAGAGTTCCCCTTTACATCAGGGTTTGCAGAGTTGCCCTTTACACCAGGGTCCACAGAGTTCACCGTTAGATAAGTGTCTGGCGAATTCCCCTTTACATCAGGGTCCACAGAGCTCCCCTTTACTTCAGGGTCCGCAGAGTTCTCCTTTGCACTGTAAAGTAAACCCTGCAAACTGTGATGTACTGTAAAGGGTAATTCTGATGTACTGTAAAGGGGAATTCTGATGTACAGGGGGATTTTAATGTAAGTGCAGGAAGGGGGCCCACTGCAGGACCATAAAAAAGGGCCCTGTGACAGGACTAAAGGGCCCAAGGCTCAGAGGAAAGAGCCTCAGGCTTGGGTCGGGGGTGGGGAGAGGCCTTTATGTTTTTTTGCACCGGGGCACCGTTCTAGTTACGCTAGACTGGATGAACAGGTGGCTTTGATCTAGTTAACTATGTAAGTCATAAAATCAGGGCATTTTTTTCAGCAGGAAAACGGGGGAATGCAGTTCCGGCACCCCCCGCTTTGAAAGTATGTAATGACAAGTGGTGCTGGGGTGTGCAGGAGGGTTTGTTGATGCTGGGGGCTATATTGCTGCTGGGGAGGATCTATTGATCTGGGGGTTCTATTATTGCTGGTGGGTCAATTTTTGCTGGAAGGGATCTACTGTTGAGGGAGAGGTCGATTTTTGCTGGCTGATAGAGGGTCTACTGATGCTGGAAGATCCATTGTTGCTGGGGGCATAGAGAGATATTTGTTGCTGAGGTGGGTCTATTTTACTGAGGGGGTCTCATGTTGCTGTGAAGGAGTCTATTGTTGATGGCTGGAGGAGATCTGTTTTGCTTCTTTTCTTGTTATCATTAACAAATTCCATAAAAATTACTTAGCACTGTGTGTTCTGCATTCCCAAAAAGGGGCAATACTGATAGATGGGTAGGGGGAAGAGACAAGGGATGGTGCTCTGAGCTAGGTAAGGGGAGGAGACAAGGGGTGACTTAGAAGAGTGGTGTACTTGCACCTATTTTCTTTTTTTAAAAAAGCCCTGTATAAAATTATATGCTGTCCTCAGAGTGCCAGTACTGAATACAGTAGAAAGATGAAAGTGACACAGATATTTGTATATGTTCAGGTCTTTAGGTCACAATAAGGAGTCACAGAAGTAGCCAACAAATTTTGGAGGCTCATCAGTCCACCTTCATCAGGGCTTGTGGTGAAGAAGCAGCTTTGGAGCAGCGTAGACTGCTTATAGGAAATAATAATAAAACACAAAAATTACTTTCTCTGGTCACTGGGTTCTTTGCAAAGAAGAGATCTCAAGTCAGAGAGAAGTAGCCTAACACTTGAAAAAATCAGTTGAAAAATACCGCTTTCTAAGCGATCGGCTGATAATCTGATAGTACACAGCTTTTGAGAGCCAATTACAACAGTACATGCGATATTATCCAAAGGTAAACCCAACAATGTTTCTTGTGCGATAAGCGAAAAAAAGGTTTTTGTTTAATCAGTACGGTATTCGTCTGTAAAAAAATTGAGTGACCAAGACCGCTCATGCTCAGAAATGAAAGAATACATTACATCAGCTCAAAAGTTGTATTTGGTCTTACAAGATTTTTCATAACTCTGGTAGCCTATTAATTTTTGATATGAGGCTAGCATGCAAAAAAAAAAAAAAAAACCAGACGATCATTCGTCCGATATTTTCATCATGTGTACAAGGCTCAAGTCCAGACAGTTTACAGTTCAAAAGAGAAGAGAAAAAAATCTGTCTCCACTTCTCATTCTCCATCCACCACTGCCCATCCATAAAGCTGAACTCCAACTTTACCTCCCTATACAAACATTGTCTTTATGTCCTGATAGGAAGTGATAATAGTGACACAGATGGTAATAAAAACCTCCCAAAATAAAATGTTGTGGCTGGCATTGGAGTTTATTGGAGTGATTGGTCAGAGTTCTGTCTCCTCCACCAATCACATCCACAGATCCGTATAGTGACTCAGTAACTCAGTTCTTTTCGCTGAGTACAAACAAGCACAAAGCAAACAAGATATCACATTACTCGAGGACCAGGCAATACCCGGCTATTCAGTGCAAACCGCCTAATGAAATTGTCTTTGATGAGATGTTCAGAGTAAACTTTTGGCTGAAGCGATTCCAGGCCACCCAGAGCACATAAAAATAAATAGCAGCGCTGAGGCCCAGTACTCAGTACCGAGGCTTATTTGTAGAAGAATTATCTGGAGCAGAGTGCAGTCACTGTGCCATATTGTGTGTTCACCTCTGGACGAGTCCATTCTCAGTCTTATTGGTAGATTTACATTATATTTGGGAGAAGCCAACACTACATCTGTGTACCACCAAATGACCCACACCAAACCATGGCAAGATATATTGTACGGATATTCTAATGTTCCTGTACACCTGAGTAAAATCACTTTTAGAGCTCACACTGGATTTCATTTGGACAAAAAAAAATTCAGTGACATGTTGGTAGATTAATTGGCTCTTGTCTAAATTGGCCCTAGTATGTGTATGTGAGATAGGGACCTCAGACTGTAAGCTCCTTGAGGACAGGGACTAATGTGAATGTACAATGTATGCTATGTAAATTGTTGGTATCCACAAATACCTGTAATAATAATAATTATATTGAGCACAACAACCCTTATCACAAGAGAAGCATTGAGGAACACATGTATCTGTGCAGATTTTTTCCTGGTCTTGGACAATCAGCATTGACCTTGACACATTCCATGCTGATTGGATTGTTTAACATGCAAGAAGAAAGCTAAACCCTTTCACCACCGGAGGCAGAAAGAAGACAACTCACAGTTCAAAGGAGGAGAGGAAAGTCTCTCTGCACATCACATTTTTAGGAAGAGAGCTGTTCGTTCACCTCCATCCATCCTTAAATCTGACCTCCAGCCTTCCTTTCAGTCTTGCAGTTGTACAGCCTTCTTTCCTGTACTGAAAATTGCATACTTTGATTTCACTGCACACTGTGAGCTTCTCACAATGTGTGTTCGAAGCTGCAGCAAGTCAGCTATAGCCTGCCCCGTTTCCTGGCTGGAGGACATTCAGCATCATTCAACTCTTTTCTCCCCAGCACATCTGTCCCTGGCCCACCCCTCTCATTCACTGGGTTTCAGTACTTTCAATCACGGAAGCTCAGAATCAAATGTGGGGATTACCTAGGACAGACTGCAGAGCTAGTCCACTGTGTGCATCAGGGCCAGTGGCTCTTGAGAGAAATAAAGAGGCAGGGTGCGGTGATATTTACAGGAAGCTATGTACAGCACCTTGCTGGCCTCTCCCACCAGCCATAATCTGCCTGCATTGCATGAAGAAGCACAGAGACCTAGTGATGACAGGTTTGTAATAAAAACAGGTTTTATTTAACTGCTTGCAATCCAACCTATAGCAGGAATGGAGGACCACGGTTCGAGAATGGCCTGAGCAGCACTCCCGCCCGGACCGCCTACCCACAAAACTAGATTGACAAATCTGCTGCTCAGCAGGACGGTCGTCCCGGCAACCAATGACATCATACATGTGCCCCACCCCTTGAAGGTCACTGTCTCTCCCGCCTCGCGCTCCCTGCCTGTCCACAGGCACACACCCCGCCCCCTTCAGCAAGGATCCTGGCAAGCTCCTGCCTCCCGCTCCTGTCTGCCCTCAAGGTAGGGTGTGTTCTTTCTGGGGGACCTTGATGGGCACATTTATATTAAGGGGCACTATGATGGGCACATTTATATTAAGGGGCACTATGATGGGCACATTTATATTAAGGGGCACTATGATGGGCACATTTATATTAAGGGGCACTATGATGGGCACATTTAATGTTAAAGTGTAATGCTGATGGGCACATTTAATATTAAGGGGCACTCTGATGGGCACAACATAGAATGTGCCTACCAGAGTGCCTCTTAGCATAAAATGTGCTCATCAGAGTGCCCCTTAACATAAAAGATGCCCATCAGAGTGCCCCCTTAACATAAGATGCCCAGAGTGCCCCTTAACATAAAATGTGGCCATCAGAGTGCCCCTTAACATAAATGCGCCCATCAGCATGCTGCTTATTTTATGTTAAGGGGCACTCTGATGGCCACATTTTATGTTAAGGGGGCACTCTAATGGGCACATGTGATGGAAAGGGGGCACTCCGATGGGCACATGTTATGTTAAGGGGGCACTCTGATGGGCACATGTGATGGAAAGGGGGTACTCTGATGGGCACATGTGATGGAAAGGGGCACTCTGATGGGCACATGTGATGGAAAGGGGCACTCTGATGGGCACATTTTACATTAAGGGGCACTCTGATGGCCATATTTTACGTTAAGGCACACTCTGATGGGCACATTTTATGTTAAGGGGCACTCTGATGGGCACATTTTATGTTAAGGGGCACTCTGATGGGCACATTATATGTTAAGGGTCACTCTGATGGGCACATGTGATGGAAAGAGCACTCTGATGGCGAATATGATGTAAAGGGGCACTCTGATGGGGATAGAAAGGGGTACTTTGAGTGTAAGGGTACACTCTGACAGGAATACCTGATGTAAGGTGGCAATGTGATGGGGATACCTGATGTAAAGGGGCACTCTGATGGGGACAACTGATGTAAAGGAGCACTCTGATGGGCACACCTGATGTGATGGGGATACATGATGTAAAGTTGCACTTTGATGGCAACATATAATGTTAAGGGGCACTCTGATGGGCACATTTTATGTTAAGGGGCACTTTGATGGGCACATGTTATGTTAAGGGGGCACTCTGATGGGCACATGTGATGGAAAGAGCACTCTGATGGCGAATATGATGTAAAGGGGCACTCTGATGGGGATAGAAAGGGGTACTTTGAGTGTAAGGGGACCCTCTGACAGGAATACCTGATGTAAGGTGGCAATGTGATGGGGATACCTGATGTAAAGGGGCACTCTGATGGGGACAACTGATGTAAAGGGGCACTCTGATGGGGACAACTGATGTAAAGGAGCACTCTGATGGGCACACCTGATGTGATGGGGATACATGATGTAAAGTTGCACTTTGATGGCAACACCTAATGTAAGGGGACACTCTGATGGGCACACCCTATGTAAGGTGTCACCGTAATGGGGGAACTTTATATAATGGGGCACTCTAATGGGGACAACTGATGTAAGGGGGAACACTGATGGTAGACACCAAATGTAAAGGGGCCTTCTGATGCAGAACCTGATTTAAGGGGGCACTCTAATGAGAATGCCTGATGTAAGACAACACTCTGATGAAAATGCCTGATGTATGGGGGCACTGATGGGAACACATTACTTAAGGGGGCGCACTGATGGGAATGCCTGATATAGGGGGGTACTCTGATGATGGCAACTGATTTATGGGGGAAGTCTGATGGTGGCACCCAATGTAATAAATTATTCTGGAGGGGAAACCTGATGCAAGGGGGAACACTAATGGGGACATTTATTTTTGGACCTCGGGCAGAAGAAGATTTTAGTAATTTTAATTCAATACCCCTGTTTTATAGCAAAAAGTTAAAAATGTTGTTTTTTTTCTTTTTTCAAAATTGTTGGTCTTTCTTTTGTTTATAGCACAAAAAATAAAAAACACAAAGATGATTAAATACCACCAAAAGAAAGCTCTATTTGTGGGAAAAAAAAGGACATAAATTTAATTTGGGTACAGAGTTGCATGACCACGCAATTGTCAGTTAAAGTAACACAGCACTGTATCGTAAACAATGGCCTGGCCCTGTCAGGAAGGAGGGTAAATCAGTTTACATCAGTTTTTTTTTCAGCATTTTCTTGTCATTTTCTCAACAGTTTCTTGTTAGTTGCTAGTCAGTTTTTATATCAGTTTTTTTACATCCTTTACCAATGCAAAAAAAAGATGTACAAAACTGACGTATTCTTTATTAAATATATTTTTTTATTTTCTGCTATTTTTAGATTCCTGGATGCTCAGAAAATGCCAAAAAGAATCTGCGTGTAGAGATTTGTTTGCAGGAAGTATCTGGCCCCTCCTCATTATCAATGAGACAAGCCTGGGGAACTCTAGGACCTTATCTAATGCAGTGTGCATGACCCAGGCGTTTGCTTGTCATGCATTCAGGAAGGGAATTCAATTCTGCATGGCTTAGATAAGCGTATTTGTTCTATGTGACTCAGAGCAGGCTGGACCCCTCAACTCTCACTGAAGGGGAACTGCACTAAGAATGGTCCTTCAAAATTGGGATGTTATATTGTGCGGTGTTTGACTTAGGCACCTTGCACGGGGGTGTCTATCCTCTGTGGGTGCAATCCCCCCGTTTTAGTGTGCCCTATGGTGGCACAGGTGCCACATGCAGCCCCACTATCTGCAGCCTGTAAAAGTCTTTGGCAGGCTGAAATACATTGTACATATGGGGGTCCTATGCAAGGACGAATCCCCAGAACGCAGTTATTCTGTGTGTTTGTACAGGCCAGAGAGAGCTGCAAAGCCAAGTATATTAGACCTGGGCAAACCCAGGAACTCAGAGCAGGAATGATGGTAATCCCTCATAATGCACACAGCAGGTGTGCTGACCCAGAAGATAAATGCAAGGATGGTGGGAACTCCTTATAATAGACACAACAGGTGTAGAGACCTGGGAACTCAGTGTAGGGATGGTGAGAACCCCTCATACTGGTCACAGCAGGATCTCACAGACAGCGTCCCTAAAAGATTACAAAAAAAAAAAGAAGACTGTTTACCAATCCAGGAGCCACCAAACTCTGAAAGTATTGACTGCCATTGTCGGAGTTCAGAAGATGTTAGGTGGTCATAAATTTTCCAGCATCTATCAAATATCAACTTTGGGTAAACAGAGCCGTTAATTTTAATGAGCTTTCACTTCTTTCATCTCATATTGCCTCTCCGACCCGCCTCTCATACTTTTCCCTTCCCACACAGCAGTTTACTCAAGAAGAACTTTAAATGTTAGTTTATAAAAAGGATTGATGACGTGCTGCTGTTGTTACAAAGTAAGGAGATTTCCTAACAGCTTTATCGGCCTGAGATAAATACAGCGGAAAAAAATAAACAATGCCAAATATCAGTGATGAGCAGATATTATTAGTCAGCAGGCTACAGGAGAACCAGAGTAGCTGGTCAGCCCTTTCCTAATCCCTCTCACACAATTATGGAATGCAAACTTTCATTTAAATATACATTTAATTTAAATGTATTCCTCAACAACCACAATGTTTTTGTAAACCCAGATATTACCTTGCAAAAGTAGCAGTGACATGATCACTGTTCTGTACATAGACTGTAAAGAGAGCAGAGCCATAGGAGGGACCCAGCCAATTCCCCCACTACAGACTGCCTGCAGAAAATGACAGGAATAGGTGGAGACATGACCAGTCATTCTGCACAAGGAGAGAAAGAAGCAATGGCTGGTCTTTATTACAGGAAGCTCCTGCACACTGAATTACTGGACAGATCTGGAAGAAATATACAAACAGCACACCAAGATCCAAGTAACAAAACGCATGCCCTGTGTATTTTAAAAAAAAAAATTGCTTAACTCAGAGTTCAACTTTAAAGCACATGAAAATGGTGACTGTGATCTTTCTGTACCAAATGATGAAAACATATAAAACCCAGTTCAATTGACAGCCTCAGTCAGAGACTGCAAAGTGTCATATTGGACTCGATATGTATGTAAATAAACCCAAGGCACCATGCAAACACACTTTGAGTCTCAGTGCATGGGGCTCTGGCATTTAGCTGCTGGCTGAGGGCACAGGTATCTCATTCAGCCCTACTGCCAGCAGCCTGCAAATCGTATGAGAGGCTGATAGCTGCAGCTGCAAAGGGCTGTACAGGAAACCCAGTGGTACTTACCTTTAGTACATTATGCGCCTAGGGATGAATGCCTGAAAGTTTTGTGTTCCATGTATCACCCTGGGTAAATACTGCCCTCAATGCTCCACGTATTATTGAGGGCTATTGAAACGAGTACTAAGACAGGGTACTGTGATGTCTGCTAGAAACTATGGATAGCAACTTGCTGTACACTACTACCAACCAGGATCTGCCTACATTGCTTGGGAAAACACAGGGAATCCGTGACAAAATATTTGGGACTAAAATTAGGGTTGTATTGAAAATAGGTTTTATTAGGAATGGTTCACAGGTGGCCACACGTATCAATATGATCCTTTAATCAGTAATTCGATGCAACTACAATAATCAAATGAATAAGAAAACTAAACAAAAGACCCTCCACTCGATTGATTTAGTATGGTTTTGATTTAGATGCTAGTAAAGTTGACCAGCTGTTGTGAAATTTTAATGACCGCTCCTGATCGATTAAACAAATATCTAACAACTGACTATAATACAGACCAATAAATGATCATTTTCAATAGATCTTTTCTGAAAGATCATATTTTCAGTCAATACTGTATGTGTTGTATCATTCGTATTTTAAGCAATGATAAATGGCTTGTTTGCAATCACTTGTCCTTATATTAATCAAATATCAATTCATGTAAGGTAGCAGAAGGTACTATCTGAGGAGTCAGGCTAGGCAACAATAGAACGTACCAGTGATTGCGCGGAGATACAGAAGTCACAGAGGCCCCCAGGGGGCACTGGAAGCACAGAGTTGCACTTGGAGACATGGAGGGGCAAGGTACATCTTGGAGACATGGGGGTGCACAGAGGTGCACTAATGGCACAGGATTACATTCGGAAGACATGGAAGACACAGTGCTGCACTTGAGATACCTGGGTGCCTGAAATGACATGGCAGTGCACAGAGTCATGTTAGGTAGCGCTTGTAGACACTGAGGCACACAGAGGCACAAGAACCACAGAGTTCAACTTAAGCCTGGCGACGCATTGCTCGAGGGTCACATTTAGTTGCTGCGAAAATATAATGGATCTTTGCAGCTCTCGTTTAAAATTCTATTTATCCTTAAAACCTGTCTATGTTTCCTTATACTTCAAATAGTTTGTTTGGGTCAAGCTGGCCCAATGGAACTACTTCCATAACTAAGTTATTCTGCCACTGTCAGCACTGCACCATTCTGTAGTACTAGTAGCATCAGCTAAACACTGTATGGAGTGCTGTGTTCCGGCAGCATCACGGGCAACTTCCCATCTGCTGCTGGAACAGAATTAAGCCAGGCTAAATGCTTTTCAGCCATTTAGAGGAAGCCTTGTACCTTTATGAATACAAAGCTTCCACTAATTGGCCAAGGTGGAAACCATGACATCTACCATCCGTCTCTCCACCTTGACCAATCAGGGGAAGGCTTATATTCATTCATAAAAATACAAGGCTTCCTTTGAAAGGCTGAGAAGCATTCAGCCTGACTTGAATAGTTAAAGCAGCAGACAGAAAGTTGCTCATTATGCTGCGAAACACAGTGCTCTATACTGTATGTAGCTGATGCTACTACAGTATGATACAGTGCTGGCAGCAGCAGAATAACTTTGTTGTGAAAATAGTTCATTTGGGCCAGCTTGGCCCAAACAAACTATTGTAAAAGGAAACACAGACGTAGGCTTTAAATATATTTTTGATAATTGCTGTATTATGCTGTGGTCATTTTTTTTCCCACTATGAATGTGTTAGGAACCAAAAATATACTTTAGGTGTTTGATTTGTAAGCTGTTGTCTTTGTGTCTTTTGTTATGGAGTTCCTCATTCCTCCATTAAGGAAAATGACCTCCAGGACAAGTAATGCTCAGTTAGTGACACTTAAATGGGTTAACATTCTTTCATGAAAATCAGCATGGTTTTTTTTTTTCAGAAACAAAAGGAATTTAGGGAGTTCACATTTTGAGAATGAAAACACTGTTTTTCTTTCTCAGACATAGATTTCCTGGGTTGTGTCCAGCTATTTAAAAAGAAACGATGTCAAAAGAGGAAAATGCAATTAAACAAACTTGGAATGGTAAATGCTGCCCGGCCTGGCTGCCAAATCTACTGCAGGCCGATTTAACCCATTCTGCGTTTAATGGTGAGTGCCATATTGATATTATGGCCATTATTTTTCCC